AAACTCCAGATATTTCCCTCCTTGGAGCTGGCAACCCTACTTTCCCCTCAGTGCCTGTTGGTAGGCAACTAAGTTTGGTCCAGTCACCTACTTTGCCCTTTGGGAGAAAACAGATTGGGGCCAATCCTGATAGGGTTGCCAACTCCCAATGGGAAATTCCTGGAGATTTGAGGGATGGAGCCTGAAGAGGGTGAGGTTTGAGGAGGGGTGGGACCTCAGACAGGTACAATGCCATAGAACCATTGTTGCCAATCTCCAGGTGAGGGCTGGAGACCACTCAAAATTACAATTGCTCTGCAGAAGGGAGGGCGGAAGTCAGCTGAAGTCAAAGGGGCAGATAATGGTAGGTTGATGGTTAGCTGCGAAGGAGATGGGGTTGCCAACTCCAGGCTGGCAAATTCCTGGGGATTTGAGGGGTGGAGCCTGGAGAGGGTGGGGTTTGCGGAGGAGTGGGACATCAGACGGGTAGAATGCCATAGACCCCACTCTCCAAACCAGCCATTTCGTCCTGGGTAACAATTGTTGCCAATTTCCAGGTGAGGGCTATAGATCACTCAAAATTACAACTGCTCTTCAGGGAGCAGAGATCAGTTCCTCTGGAGAAAACAGTGGACTCTGCCATTATACCCTGCTGAGGTCACCACAGCAAAATGACACTGTTTGCCCAAAGCCAGAGCACTCCCCCAGAGCCTCTTTCTAGATCCCGTTGTATTTATTTCCACAACGGGCTTTACTGCTAGTATAAAATAAAGGAGGCTTTTGATTTTCTCTACAAAAAATATAAGCAGTGAAGTGGCTAAATTTGCAAGTGACACGAAGTTGTTCAGGGTGGTGAGAATCAGGGAGGATTGTGAGGCACTCCAGAGTGATCTGTCGAAGATGGTGGAGTAGGCGTCAACGTGGCAAATGGGGATCAATGTGGCCAAGTGCAAAGTGATGCACATTGGAGCCAAAAATCCTATCTATAAATATATGTTGATGGGTCTGAACTGGTGGAGACTTACCAAGAGAGCGATCTTGGAGTTGTAGTAGATAACTCACTGAAAATGTCGAGATAGTGTGCGACTGCAACAAAAAAGATCTATGCTATGCTGGGAACTATTAGGAAGGGAATTAAAACAAATCAGCCAGTATCGTAATACCTCTGTATAAATCGGTGGTGTGTGCGACCTTATTTGGAGTAGTGTGTACAGTTCTGGTCACCACACCTTAAAAAGGATATTATAGCATTGGAAAAAGTGCAGAAAAGGACAACTAGAATGATAAAAGGGTTGGAACATTTTTCCTATGGAGAAAGGTTAAAACTCTTTGCTCTCTTTAGCTTGGAGAATGACAGCTGAGGGGTGACATGATCGAGGTTTATAAGATTATATATGGGATAGAGCAGGTAGAGAAAGAAGTACTTTTCTCCCTTTCTCACAATACAATGAAATTGCTGAGCAGTCGGGTTAGAACAGATAAAAGGAAGTACTTCTTCACCCAAAGAGTGATTAACACATGGAATTCCCTGCCACAGGAGGTGGTGGCAGCTACAAGCATGGACAGCTTCAAGAGGGAATTAGATAAACATATGGAGCAGAGGTCCATCAGTGGCTATTAGCCACAAGGTATAGATAGGAACTCTCAGGCTGGGGCAAGTGATGCACTGTATTCTTGGTGCTTGGGAGGGGGGGCAACAGCGGGAGGGCTTCTAGTTGCCTGGCCCCACTGGTGGACCTCCTGATGGCACCTGGTATTTTTGGCCACTGTGTGACGGAGGGTTGGACTGGATGGGCTATTGGCCTGATCCAACATTGACTTCTTTTATGTTCCTCTGTTCTTAAGTACGATTACAAAGTTTTCTCTTACTGTATAGTTACAGAAAAATGCTCTTTTTCTGTTGTCTAAATTTTTCTTCATCAAAACCACAAATCATCAAGTCATTTTTATCTGTTTCATACAAAAAGTCTATAAATGGTTTCCAATCAGCAAGGAACATACTTACTGTCTTTTCTCTAATCAATGAAGTAAGTTTAACCATCTCTGCAATTCCAGCATCTTTACCCACCATTCTTCTGTTGTAGGCAATGTCAGACTCTTCCACTTTTGCACATATAATAGTCTCGTTGTCATTGTCATATATAAGAATAAAGTGACTTCTTTCCAGCTGAGTGTCCATTAATCCCAAAAGAAAAGACTCTGGTTCCAGTTGTATATTAATCTTTAAAATCTTCTGTATTAAAGAATGTATTTGTATCCAGAATTTTTCGGCTTTCTTACATGTCCACCACATATGGTAAAATGTACCTTCATGTTGTTCACATTTCCATCATAGACTCAAAGTAACTTTATGCATTTTGGCCAATTTCTCCGGAGACATATACCAGCGATACACCATCTTATAAAAAGTTTTCTTTAAGGCTAGAGCTTAATGTAAATTCCAACCCTTTTGACCACATATTTTCCCATTGTTCCATTCAAATGTCATATCCAAAGGTTTTAGCCCATTTTATCATACATTCTTTTACTTGTTCTTCCTCCGTCTCAAATTTCAATGAGAGTTTATACATCTTGGCAATATCATGTTTATCATTTGTACATAATTCTGTGTCAAATTCAATCCATTTGCTTTCTAATATTTGTAAATAAGAAATCATTGGCAAGTCTATCTTTCTGTTATCAAATCTTTATTTTATATTCACCTTGTGAGAATTCTAGCATATCATGATATGTTGACCATTTATGCAAACATCATTTCCCTTCTGTAATGGGCTTCTCGTGATGAAAGCCACAAAGGTATTTTCAGACAGATCCTAGGTTTATATTTATTCCATATTTTCAAAATGACATGTCTAACATAGTGGTTATTAAATTCTATATTAACCTTAAAGAGTGCCAGTTTGGTGTAGTGATTAAGAGTGGCAGACTCTAATCTGGAGAACCGAGGTCAATTCCCCACTTCCTCACTTGAAGCTAGCCTGGGTGACCTTAGGCAAGTCACAGCACTCTTAGCCTAAAAATAAGCATAGCTTGCCACCTAATGGTGCCGAAAAAGAGCTACAGCTTCAGCAGCCAAACAGTTGTCCAGGACACAATGCCATACAATAATTAATTTAATTAATATTAACCTTAGCTTTGTCATAGCACAAGTATCCATGCCACCAAGATCTCAAGTCTTCATGTCCTTCTAAGTCCAATAATCTTCTAATTTTCAGCAACACCCATTCCTTCATCCACACTAAACTACAAGCAGCAAAATATAATTTCAAATTAGGTAAACCCAATCCACCTCTTTCCTTTGCATCCCATAATATCTTATATTTTTTCCCCTTGACATACAAATCTAGATATATGTTTCTGCCATTGCTTAAAAGGCACCTCCATTCCCTAAACAGGAATTGTCCTAAACAAGAATAACGTTCTAGGTAAGACATTCATCATAATCACAAATATTCTCCCTGAAAGTGACAATTGAACTTTGTCCCATTTTAAATCTTTTTGAATTTAATTTAACATAATTATTTTGAAATAACATACAGTTCATTTTTGTCAAGGTGATACCCAAATATTTTACCTTCTTTTCAATTTTAAAACCTGTTTTATCAGTTTTGTTTGGTCTTGTGTTTTCATATTTTTTGTTAACATCTTAGTCTTCAGTTTATTGACCTTAAAGCCCACTACTGCACCAGTTCTTTCAATTGGCCATTAAAGTTTCAGTTCCCTTTAGAGGATCTTCCAAGATCAACACCAAATCATCTGCAAAAGCTCTTAGCTTTTTTAACCTGTTCACCTCCAATTCTTTCATCTTGTCTTATATCTCTATTGAATATTTCAAGAACAAGAATAAATGAAAGACGTGATAGTGGACAACCTTGTCTTGTTCCTCTTTGTATTTCACATGGTTTAGTCAGATCTCCATTGATAATTATTTGTGCTGTCTGAGAGGTATCAATTGATTT